GATCGCCATTCTAACTGGTGTGAGATGATATCTCATTGTGGTTTTGATTTGCATTTCTCTGATGGCCAGTGATGATAAGCATTTTTTCATGTTTCTGTTGGCTGTATGAATGTCTTCTTTTGAGAAATGTCTGTTCATATCCTTTGCCCACTTTTTGATGGGGCTGTTTGTTTTTTTCTTGTAAATTTGTTTGAGTTCTTTGTAGGTTCTGGATATTAGCCCTTTGTCAGATGAGTAGATTGCAAAAGTTTTCTCCCATTCTGTAGGTTGCCTGTTCACTCTGATGGTAGTTTCTTTTGCTGTGCAGAAGCTCTTTAGTTTAATTAGATCCCATTTGTCAATTTTGGCTTTTGTTGCCGTTGCTTTTGGTGTTTTAGACATGATGTCTTTGCCCATGCCTATGTCCTGAATGGTACTACCTAGGTTTTCCTCTAGGGTTTTTATGGTATTAGGTATAACATTTAAGTCTCTAATCCATCTTGAATTAATTTTCGTATAAGGAGTAAGGAAAGGATCCAGTTTCAGCTTTCTACTTATGGCTAGCCAATTCTTTTTAACATCAATTACCAAGCCCCTTTCAGAAAAAAAAAGCACTTATGGTTTTCCTTCCTCTCAAAAATAAAGAACTCAAGTTTGCATTATTTCTATGAAATAAGTATAATTTACATGCAGAAGTCAGTAGGCTAGTAAGAAACTAAGGTTGATAAACACACTAGAAGATATGTTCCCTTACTCTCAAGTTGCTTGCAAATTAGTATTGATTACTACTCAAAAGAAAGCACTGTCTCGCTTTTCAAAAGCATATGGGTCTTGTGTAAGGATATGGGTCTCTGCTCTCTGCAAGTGACTTTATTATGGATAGAAGTTGTCTAGAGAGGACTTCAAAAGACTGTCAAACTAATCCTTCCTTAGCAGGTAGCTGATAAGAATATATGACCAAGACCACTGTTCTTGTCATTTACATTGGGATTACTAAAAGTTGATGCCTTCAGGATGAAAAGAGAGGTGATAGAAATGGTGGCCTGACAGATCAGAGGAGCTGGCATGTTAGAAGAGTGTCCTCACACATGGAAAGCCCCCATGCTACCTGCTGCTCAGGTGGACTCTGCAACTGAGAAGTTCCAAGAGCAATGAGAGTCAAAAGAAAGACTGAACAGAACATTTTACTCTTTCTCAATAAAATAACTCTTCATCATCCACAAACCTTCCCCTAGCAAAAAATTTTCTTCCCTGTGCTGCCAACTCCTGTTATCTGACACAATACACAATTTAATCTAATGGAATCACATGAAGTTAAGAGTGTGAGCTTTCACACCTGGGATTTGGCCCCTATCCTCTCATTACTAGCTATGTCATCTTGGGTGAGTTACTTAAGGTTTTCAGCATCAGTTTCTACATCTATAAAATGGGTGCTCATAATGTTTATCTAGCAGGTCTTTTGGGAAGTTTGCATGAAATGACATATATAAGACATGTGCTCATATGATGGGTGAGCAATCAAAACTAGTCATTGTCATAAAAGCATGGGCTATGTTCACAAAGCCCTATTGTCACTGTTCACTTTATGGTGAATAGCCATTTCCACTGTATTGCAGTTTGTGGGGAGGAGGCCCAGTGGGAGGAAGAATGGGGAGATATTTTTTGTTTACTCAGATAGATTGTAAGTCCCTGATCCTTGATACTAACTACCTCCAAGAAAGAATATCATATCTGACATTAAGGGCCTAACCTAAGTGGTGGAGACTATACACCCGGTGCTGTATTAGAAAGTAGAATGTGCTCACTGTTATACCAGACTCACAAAGCACTTTGGGATCACTAAAGAGGGGAAAGCTAATTTTGACCAGGAGTTGAGGATGCCATCATGGAAGCCTGCATATTTGATCTGTGTCTTTTTTTTTTTTTTTTAATTTTCTTTATTTTTTATTTTATTTTTTTTTTTTGAGACGGAGTCTCACGCTGTTGCCCAGGCTGGAGTGCAGTGGCGCGATCTCGGCTCACTGCAAGCTCCGCCTCCCGGGTTCCCGCCATTCTCCTGCCTCAGCCTCCTGAGTAGCTGGGACTACAGGCGCCCGCCACCGCGCCCGGCTAATTTTTTGTATTTTTAGTAGAGACGGGGTTTCACAGTGGTCTCGATCTCCTGACCTTGTGATCCGCCCGCCTCGGCCTCCCAAAGTGCTGGGATTACAGGCTTGAGCCACCGCGCCCGGCTGATCTGTGTCTTAAACAAGGGATTGAATACAAATTAGAAATAAGAAGGAAATAGACACCTCAAAATTTCAAAAGCAAAACAGTCACAACTTGGGATGCATAGGATATGGAGAGTAAGTAGGAAAAAGAAGAGTGAAAGATAACCAAAATTTAGAAGCCCAGAAAACTGGAAGGACAGTGCTGACTGAAGTTCAGCAGGATGTCACAGAGAAGGGGTGAAATCAGTAGAAGATGATAAACTCAGGTTGAGTTTGAGGTGGAGGAAGAACATCCAGATGAGGACATATCCCAGTGAAGTATAACTTGTATAACTTACAACTCAAGGAAGAGATGCAGATTCCAGAGTCATTTTCATGGATGTGATCATTTAAACTTAAGCAATCATTTTAGGGAAGAGAATAAATCAATAATTTAATGGCAACTAGTATAGAACAGTAAGAAGCAGCTATGCTTTGGGGACTCATAGACACACAGTTTTGTTTGTTTGTTTTTTGTTTTATGTTTTTTGTTTTTTTTGAGATGGAGTTTTGTTCTTATTGTCCAGGCTAGAGTGCAGTGGTGCAACCTTGGCTCACTGCAACCTCTGCCTTCCAGTTTCAAGCGATTCTCCTGCCTCAGCCTCCCAAGTAGCTGGGATTACAGGTGCCCGCCATCACGCCTAGCTAATTTTTTTGTATTTTTAGTAGAGACAGGGTTTCACCATCTTAGTCAGGCTGGTCTCAAACTGCTGACCTCGTGATCTACCTGCCTTGGCCTCCCAAAGTGCTGGGATTGCAGGCGTGAGCCACCGCGCCTGGCCGACATATAGTTTTAAAGGAAACTGTGCAACTGGGAAGGAAACCAGGCGAATGTAGAATCACAGATGCCAAAGGAAGAGCGAATTCTATAGTGGCAAGGGTGATTGGGAATGTCAGGCCCTAAAGAGAACCTGAGTAGCATGAAGCATGAGGGACTGTGTATGCCACATGGTGACTGCATAGAAAGCTGTTTCAGGGCTACCAAGGAGCAGAACCATTGAGAAGGTAAAGTAGGAGAGAGATGCATAGAATCGTAGCTTGAGGGACAAGGGAAGGTGTTTTATTAGGATAATAGAAGCCTAAATACGTTTGCAGGTTGGAGGCAAGGAGCCAGTAAAACGGATTAAAACTGAAGAATTAACAAGGATTAATTAATCAATCAAGACCTCCAGAGCACTGGTTGTCAACCCTTTCTTAACATAAAACTCACCTAGGACCCTTATTATAATACTAACACCTGCTCCTGATTCTGATCAGGATTATTTACTAGTTTTCCCAGGTGATTCAAATCTGTATCTAGGTATGAGAGTCACTGACGTAGAAGAACTGGACATTGGATTAAGACCACTATAGATGGTTATTTTGCAATGACAAAGTTTCTCTTTTTCCTCTGAGATGAGGGTAGTATAGTACTGGGGTGGAGGAGTAAGAAAAGGATGAATTAAGAGCAGAAACATTTAGAAAGACTTTGAAAGAACTCTTGATGAATGGCTTCAAACCGAGAAAGTAGAAGGTGAGATGCTTACATTAAGGGTGCAAAAGTAAGATTGGGCCATGAAAGAAATTTAAAACATTTCAAATAACTATTAAGATTTCCACAGAGATAAACAAACTGTCCAATTACTGCTTTATTCTCTCTACCCTTATTAGTTGGCCATGCCTTCACAAATAAAGGGCATTACTGTGTTTCCTGTTACTCTTATGAAAAAGTGAAAAAGAAATATTATAATTGGGAAGAGCTAGAACAATAGTAACGTTAATAGAGCCTTAGTGAAGACTTTAAGTAAGGGAATCAACAATAAGGAAATCTAAGCAGTGCATTGAGATCTCTGTGAAATCACTGAGAATTCATCCTTGATGGGATCTTGGAGATTATCTCACCCATCTCCTCCCATTTAAATTATGAGTAAACTAGGATTCAGGGAGATTCTGTGATTTGACCACCATCAAACAGCAAGTTAGCAACACCAAGAGACGCTGAAATGAAGCCTTGGAGCCCCACACCAGTGCCTTCAGCTCCTGCACACACTTGGCCTCCTGACCTCTGTCATGAGGTTCCTGGTTAGAAATGGCTGTCGTTCTTTTGGGAGGATTAATAAGAAAATCTGTATGTTGCTTTTAGCCCTTCACAAGAGAGAGAAAAAAAATATGTTCGATTTCTTCTTTATTGCTGTTATTACGTGAACCAGATTGAATTGCTGCATCTCTGAAGAGTTTCTTATGACTAGTGTGAAGTGTCCCATTTTAACCCACGTCAATTTTAAATTGCCCATAGAATACACAGATAACTGACTGTAATAATTCAGTTGCCACACTCAATACATTGTTTGAAATCCAATGAAAGGCAAAAGGAAAACTTGCAATCCTACAGAATCAGCAGGATAGATCCTGCAAGCTGTAACAGGACTTATTTGAATTAATTAAAAAGGAGCTAGGTGTGTAGTAACAAGATCAGTGGGTCTCCTCTGCGTGGCTACAATACAAGGGTAGGAACTGCAATCCTCTGGGCTTGGGGTTTTTTAAATCTGTAAAAGAAGATGAATAAGCTAGAACACTTCTTCCAGAATTAAGACTCTCATTTTTGTCTGTATTTTAATTTTTGTCATCCCTCCACCAACATTTCTAAAATAGTTAAAATCAAACTATAAAGAATATTTCAAGGATCACAGTTGCAGGTTTTTTAAATTACAAATAAATTTATGGCTCAATTTCAGGTTCCTTATCTGTAAAATAGAGGAGCATTGGTGTAAATATTCTAAACTCAGCTCTGTGCTTCAGTGGGCTTTTCACTACCTTTAGTTAGTTGCACTAGGCTGGTTGCTATTTACTTTGCATGGTTGACTGCTCTCTTCCCACATTGTGTGCCAGGAAGGGCACTGCACCTTGGTACAAACACTGCTGGGCACCTTTCTGTTTTCCTTCTTTGCTTCATCCTATACAAGTATGCAGTACACTCTTGGGTTGTTTCATGAGCCCTGGGGGCACGTTGGAAGGAACTGAGAGAAAGAGCAACAAAGCGGCGAGTGGTGTGACAGGGCAGCATGCACTGTGGGTAAGCTGGACTCACCAAAGAACTGTGTTTATTTTGCATTCATCTCCATGAATTAATAAAAAGAACTGGTGACACACAAAGAGAGGAGAGGCTACGATTTAAAAGAGCTGTATTGGTTTAGATGTTTTGTAAAATGATTACGTTATGGAAAAGTGTAGAAAATGTGATATTTCCTGGCTTTGGAACTATCTGTATGACTATAAAGTCAGGAGTGAAGGCACATAAGGACTTGTAGGAATGGTTTCTTTCACAGGAAAGTGATTTTTCTTTTCTTAGTTGGATTTATGGTTATTCTTGATTCTAATGCATATTTTCTCATATTTTAAAAGATTGCATGATGTTAATTCACAAGTCTCAGATTTCAACTCTAATATAATACATCGGAATCATGACTTTTCTCAGCCTTTCAAATTCTCAATTATTTTACTATCAGAATTTTCTTGTATTTGAACAATTTTTTAGAAGAAGCTCTGTCTAGACATGAAAACTGAGTTGGAAAATGGATATAAGCATCTAGATGACTCTAGAAAAAAAATCTTAATTGTTTTAGGCAACAAGTGTCTAGTCTTCCCTGATGTTAATTATCCAAATATGTATTTTATATCACTAATTAACTTTTCACAACTATAAATTGTCTTACAAAAACATTTAACAACACTATTATTTTCCAGGACTCGTTTTTCCTCTGCATACTAGATCACAGTATTTTTAGTGATGAGAAAATGTATACAAATTCAAACTGACAGCAATTCATGAATCTCTAATATTCCAATATGCTCTGGTATATGTTGTCCACTTTGCAAAAATGATTATTAATAGCCTGACTGCAAAATTGTTTAAGAAACATTTCATTTTAAATTAGCCATAATTAATTTTTTCAGACTATACAGATGCATGAAGTTCATTTTCCTTGCCCATATTTAGTTTTTCCTGTTTAACAAAAATTATATATAATATATATAAAATATATATTAAAACAATATATGTATATTTATATATTCCTTTATGTGTATGCAATATATTTATTATATATATTATACATATCCCTTTTATTAAACAGGGAAAATGAGTATATAAATTACTAATATATATAAATTACTTTATATATATATATATAAAAAATTAAGAACTACAAGAAAAAAATTGGCAAGTAATTAGTCATTTCATTTGATTATTTTAGATCACCAAACAGAATACTTCAAGTTTTCCAAGATACTTTGTACCGTTTGGTTCAAATGTTTCCTCTGAGAGGCTAATTTATTAGCAACAACAGAGTGAGTTAGAGATAAGAAAGGGTGAGAACCCAAGTAATTGACATCCAATCAGGAGGCCTTTGTCTGAGAACCTGAGGTGACTAATAAAAACTGACAATCTAAGGGAGAGAGACTTCTATCTGGAGAGTATTTCTCATGAAAACAAATACTGCACAATTAAATTAAATATATCACCCCACTGAAGCAATTGCTATTCCCAACTTTATCCTTAGAATTCTTTTTCCAAGCTTGAGATTGTTGTATGGGCAAATATTCTCCACTGAACCACACAAGCACAACTAAATCAATCAACCAGTAGTCAGTCAATCAATGAAATCTATCTAAAGCCAAAGTTTTCTTCTCCTAAATGTAGCGAGATAATTGACTGTGCTCTACACTGTGCTTTGAAGATAGAGAGTTCACTGACATAAGGTAATAAAGAATTTAAACATTAGCTAACAATTTTGAGCGCTACGTGTCAGGGATGTGCTAAATGATTTCTGTCTCGTTTTTTATCAGAATTTTTGAATTAACTATATGAAGTTAGTGCATTTTTGTCCCCAAATGTGGACACTAAGGCTTGACTACAGTTGCTTGCCCAAGATAACACAGCTGCTAAACAACAGAACCAAGATGCAAACCCAGGGTGACCTGATTACCACACTATACCATCTTCTTAGGCACAGCACTGTTTTGCTTCAGATGTTTCTGGACACTCAGAAGCACAGAGCAGAGTATCAGTTATCTGAGGCTATATGTTGCCTCTGCATCCAAAAAAGTGCCAATGATAATGCCACACTCAGAGTGTTGTTTGAAAAATATCTATTGAATTGTATTCACAAATGAAAACTCTTTTCTCTAATGATGTATCATCTCACTCTGCTAAGAAATCAAGTATGGTTTCATAAAATTTTAGTCATAAAGATAATGTTATTTGAACAGGAACAAGATGGCATTATGAATAATAGATTTCAATCTATTAAGCACAGAGCTACAGCAACAGTTTAACAGGATAATGCAAGGATTATTATAAAATTTTTAGAGATTACTGTAAGTAGCACATGATCCCCTTTGCTATTAATAAAAACAAAACAATGCTGAGAAATAGGCCATTTTGTGTACTTGCTTTTACATGAAACCTGTATGGAGTTGTGCAACTAGACTAGGGTTAGGACAGCCGAGTTCTGGTCTTGGTTCTGAAACTAAACGGCTCTATGACTCTCAGCAAAAGACTGACCTTTTCAGGCCTAAATCTCCTCATGGTTAAATGTAGGGAAGGATCAGATGAGATAATTTATAAGGTCCTTCCAACTCTAAAATCCCATCATTCTGTAATAGTGCTACATTAGATTCCAATGTTAGCATAGTTGGAAATGCTCACTTCACAATTTTTTACCTTTTGCAAAATTCCCTGTATCAGGAGATTCAAAACATACTTTATGACAAAACTCAGAAGGGAAAGAAATACAGCAGCCTTTTAGCTATAATCTGGTATGCAGCAACTATAGTGTATGTGCAAGGTGAAGGAAGAGTGACAAAGTGAGACTAACAAAAGGAAAAACAAAACTGTCACCATTACAGGACACCAGACCAGCCAAGACATGATGAAAGACATGGCAAGATTCACACAGGGAATTAGAGCAATCTGAGCCATTTTCTAGAACTTTCTCATAACACAATATTAATTGGGTTTACTTAAAATTCAGTTATCCACTTTGGTGTACATAAAATAAAATCTAAAACATTATAATCAGGACTTACTGTACTTACAATTAGTGACAGTTCCTGTACAAATACAGTTTCTAGTAACATTGTATATAAAGCAATGCTATATATATAGACCTGGAACCCTCAGTGCTCGGTTCTGTGCCTACCTTTCTATAATTAGCTGTGTTATCTTGATTAATGAATGTGACCTTTTTGACAGATACGTTGCTTAGCTCTAACACAACTGATCTTATACTGATAAAAAAAAAATATGTTTTGGTTATTGCAATCACTCACTGACTTCTATGAAGTAGGTCCTGGTAAGTGGAGGGTCTGTTGTTAGCTGAGGGGATGACAAATGTGACCACTATGTTTGGCACAGCTGGGCCAAGACTGCATAATAAAGGGAAAGAGATTGAGAAGCCCCAGAGAGAGGATTCTGGGAAGGGAATCAAAGTAGACTCTTTAATGTTGAATCATTCAAAATAGAAATCCGTGTCTTAAAATCCCCAAAACATAGAAATGAAAAGCCACAACAAGAAAACTGAGAAGACATCTGCAAAGTACTTTTAAAACATTGAGATTCTGGCCGGGTGTGGTGGCTCACGCCTGTAATCCCAGCACTTTGGGAGGCCAAGGCAGGCGGATCACGAGGTCAGGAGTTCAAGACCAGTTTGACCAACATGGTGAAACCCCATCTCTACTAAAAATACAAAAATTAGCCAGGTGTGGTGGCATGTGCCTGTCATCCCAGCCACTCAAGAGGCTGAGGCAGGAGAATCCCTTGAACCCGGGAGGCAGAGGTTGCAGTGAGCTGAGGTCGTGCCACTGCACTCCAGCCTGGGTGACAGAGCAAGACTCCGTCTCAAAAAAAATTGAGATTCTGATTACAGTGGGTACCATATGTCATAGAAGGACAATGATTAATATATAACAATAGTGACTAAAACAAACTGTGACTGAGACAAGAAATACAGTACCGATGTAGGTCTGAATATCATAGTACTGAGAACGGGACATTTAATCTGACTGGAAAAATTGAGAGGAAAAATCAGACCTACCTAACAATTGCATGTTGTTGCTTTGTATAAAGTAGAGTAGTTAGAAAGTAAATGGATGGGATTAGAGATTTATCAAACACCCACTTCTGGTGAGGCACAGTGCTAGGTGATGTGCATGCATTGCCTTATCTAATCCTCATATTAATCTTGAGAAAAAAGGTAATTTATTCCCATTTCTGCACAAGAAAATTAGAGCTCAGTTTTAAAAACTTGCCCACCTCTCATAAACTTGATGGAGTATAAGTCAATACAAATGTTTGGGAGGGTAATTCATCCAAATCTATCAAAAAATTTAAGAAGCAAAATTATTACCTCAGCAATGAGAGTTTTAGCCATTTATTCCTCAGAAATACTTTTTCATGTGTGCAAAGATATTATGTGCAATTTTCCTCATTGCTGCATTATTTGTAATATTTAAAATTTTGGAGGCAACCTAACAGCTATTTGGTAAAACAACTTATGATACATCTATATTCTAGAATACTTTAAAGGAAATAAAAATATTAAAGTATAAGAAATTAAATTCATTTGGAAGAATATTTTAGTAAATTTCTTAGTATAAAGATCAAAATACAAAAATATAATAAGTAGCAAAATTAACTTTTGATTAATAAAGTATATATCCATCTGTATGGATATAGTGAACGATCTGGAACACTACATGCCAAGTGATTAACAGTAGTTACAGCTATAGAATGAGATGAAGAGCTAGAACAGAAGAGACCACATCCTACTTTCTGCTGTTCTGTATCATTTGAACTATCTCCAACAGAAAAGTACCATTCCATTAAAAAAGGTGGAAAGGCATAATGAACCCAAAGTCACACGAGCAGCCACCAGCATTTGGGACTTACAGTTCTTGCTTCAGTATTTGACTTCTAAGTTTACATTTTGGGATTCCTCTTCTTCTGAAATGACATTACACTGTCTAGAGTGGAAAATGATGACGCACAGCAGAATTATGTGAGAGAACAGAAAA